CTTTTCTTAGCTAAATATAACCACGTGCTTTTGTTAGCTAAACATAACCACGTGTTTTTGTTAGCTAAACATAACTGCGTGTTTTTCTTAGCTAAATATAACCACGTGCTTTTGATAGCTAAATATAACCATGTGCTTTGGGTAGCTAAACATAACCACATGCTTTTGTTAGCTAAATATAACCACAGACTTTTCTTAGCTAAATATAACCACGTGCTTTTGTTAGCTAAACACAACTGCATGTTTTTCTTAGCTAAATATAACCACGTGCTTTTGATAGCTAAACATAACCATGTGCTTTTGTTAGCTAAATATAACCACAGACTTTTCTTAGCTAAACATTACCATGTGCTTTTGTTAGCTAAACATAACTGCGTGCTTTTGTTAGCGAAATATAACCACAAGCTTTAGCTAAATATAAGAAAAGCTTGTGGTTTTACTTCTTGTACCCTCTCAGAACCAGCGTGCTCCTCCTGACACACCTGAACACAGGTGAGTCATTATCTGGGAGCCTCTCTCCACAAACATCCACAGGTAGGCAGAGCCCCGCCCCCTCATTTCCTCTCCACAGTGTTATCCGTGGATTCAAATTTGGTTTCACTTAAGCTACAAAAATAAAAGAGATGGAGCCATTTTGGGTTTTTTTTTAGCACAAACTTTATTAAAAATATAATTTCACAGCAAAAATCTGAGTCGATAAAAAAACGTCTCATTGGGTTAAATCAGAGTGAAATATAAAATCATTTTAAAGGCACCAAACAAACACCTGAAGTCAGCTGAAGCCCCGCCCCTCTCCGATTTTTAGGAGTTTTTAAAAAACATTTTTTAAGTTTTTCTGTTCGAATTTAAAGATAAAAATGTGAATCAGACAGAAACATGTCTCCACCCTGAATATATAAGGTTTAAAGTGTTAGCACTGTTAGCATTTAGCCTGCTCAGAGCTAAGACTCATGGGAGATGGAATCATTTGTGTTTCCTCTGACAAAGATCTTTAAAGTAATAAATCTATAAAGGTATAAAGTGCACTTTGTTTCATTGTTGTTGCATCAAACATGTTAAATCTTAGAGTGAATATATGGTGCGGTCAGTGGAGCTGCACTGAGCCACAACACAAACACACGGAAATACTTTTTTTATTAATGTGATAGAAGAACAACATGTTGTGTTACAGCTCCCCCTGATGGTCAGACTGTAACACTGCAGCTGGACTCTTATGACAACACACACACGATCACATGTTTATAACCTCTGATCCACACCTGACTGACTGACAGGAAATACTTCTACTGTTGAAGTAGAACTAGAGAGAGAAATAGGACTACAACCCCCAGCAGCTGGTAGCCTCAGTGGTGCTTCCTGTACGGAGAGGCCTGGAAATATTCCTCCGGAGTGACGGTCTTCACCCCGCCAAAATAATCCAACACCCACACCTGGAACGTGGAAGGGGAGGGGCATTAACATCACTTCCTGGCCTCCTATTGGCTCATCACACCGTGATGTCACAACCAGTTGTGGTCTGACGTATTATTAGCAGTATTATCTGTAGTAGTATTTTGCACCACTGGTCGTACTGGGTGGTACAGGTCGTACTGGGTTATACTGGGCGTACGTGTCGTACCTGTGTGATGTTGAACTTGGCGAAAAACCAGTTGTGGTCAGAGGGCCAGTCGATCATCTCCGGGTGTCGACTGAACAGAGACTTCTTAGCAAACTCCGCCTCCGTCCCGTTCACCTGGACAGAAGAAAGGGGCGGGGTCAATGATGAGGTCATGTGACTGCTCACCTGGACAGGTGTGTGTGTGTGTGTGTGTGTGTGTGTGTGTGTGTACCTGGAGGACAGATCCAGACAGGATGATGTGAGCACAGAGTGGACTCTGAGGGTCAAAGCCCTGCTGTTTGCAGTAATCTGTCTGAGCCAGGGACATGGACAGGGACGCCTGGGGGGACACCTGAGGGACAGAGACAGACACACCTGAGAGACAGAGACACCAGAGGGACAGACACACCTGAGGGGACAGACACAATTGAGAGACAGAGACACCTGAGGGGACAGACAGAGACACCTGAGGTGACAGACAGGTGAACTGACTGTCTAGGTATGTCCTGTCCCCTCCTGTGTCCTCACATGAGGACACCGGGACTATGTGTTGTAGTCAGAGGAACTAAAAGACAAAATGTCCGTCCTGTCTCTAAGGGCATATTAAGATGTCTCTCAGACTGTCCTCAGTCACACACTCATCACATGAGTCTTTCTGCTGTGCTCATCACTTTGAGGTCACATGACCTCTGGTCTGACTCGTGATTGGACCTCAAACTGCTGAGACACTCTGAGGTCACATGACTTTTGCTGAGTCACTGTGAGAACAAACTGCTGAGTCACGGCAGAGCCTCCGTTACACAACCCTTCATACATGTCTCATGCTGAACAACAACAACAACAACAACACTATAAATCTCTCTAGAGGTTTTGAGTGGCAGATCAGAGAGACATGGAGACACCGCACACACACACACACACACACACACAGTACACACACTACATTAACGTTATATCATGTGTTAACAGATAAGAGAGACATGGAGACACCACACACACACACACACATATTATATCATGTGTTAACGGAGCTCTGAAACAGGAAGTTGATTTCTTTACTTTTAAACCTTTTCCTGTTCAGTCCACGGAGCACCGGGGACTGAGTTACCTGCAGGTCCTGCACAGAGATCTCCATGTGGGTCAGGTACATGTAGGGCACCCCGGTACCGGAGCCCACCGGCCCGTCGCTCACGGAGAAGGTGTTGGAGAACGGCTGCCCCTCCACCGGCTTGTGAGTGGAGATGGTGGCCATGGAGGCCCAGTCACACAGGTGGGCCACGAAGCGCGCGACCCGGGCCACCTGGTCGTGAGGCGGGATCCGGGCCCGGGAGCCGGGGACGGAGGCCCAGAGGAGGCCGAGGAGGAGCACACACGGAGCCCGCAGGACAGCTCTCATGGTCGGGTTCAGATCAGGAGGACAGTCGGTGAGACTCCGGGGGTGGAAGACTTATAAACAACAGGCTGAGATCCGGTTTGGACTTGCACAATAAGAGCCGCAAAGACGGGTATATAACGGGAAGTCCTTCTTGCTCGACGATCGTGTAGGGATTTCAAAATAAAAGCAGTAAAATAGTTAAAACTGAAGATTAAATAGTCTGAACAACTTTATCATAGAGTGACCAAAATCATCGTTATTATTTTCGTTATTTTTATTAGTAGTAGAATTACAATGTATTGTTTTATTCATAATAGTAGTAGTAGAAGTATAATTTTCGCCTCTGTACATGGGGCACCTGCACTATCCACTATGCTACGGATGCCCCAGTAGTAGAAGTATAATTTACTGTTTTATGATTATATAATAATTACTATTATTATGATTATTATTGATATTAGTAGCAGTAGTTAAAGTACTTTTTTATTTTATTTTTAAAACACTAATAACAATTATTAGTAGTCGTATTAGTATCAGTATTATTTAATTTTTAGAATTATTTTATTATTGGTGTTATCATTATTATTTTATTGAATAATAATTATTATTATCAGTGGTAGTATTCAGTTTAAACAGTGCCTGGGCATTAGTTATGTTTACAGATGAATCCAAGTGCAGGGGGTGGACTGAACCATTCTACACCTGTAGGGGGTGGGAGGAGCCTCAGGAAGTTTACACTCTTATTTTAAACAAAGTTCAGTGTTTAAACCAAATGATTTCACTAATATTAATGTAGTTATGGTTCTGATTGTCAGAGTTCACTCACAGGTTCATGGTCCAACCTGCAGGGACGACGTCTCTCTGAAGTCACTGTCACTCTGGTTCCCTCGTCACAAAGCAATGACATTTCAAAATAAAAGATACAGTAACAACTGAACATCCTCCTCCTATTCCTACAGTGGAGTTTCAAAATAAAAGATACAGTAACAACTGAACGTCCTCCTCCTATTCCTACACTGGAGTTTCAAAATAAAAGATACAGTAACAACTGAACGTCCTCCTCCTATCCTACAGTGGAGTTTCAAAATAAAAGCTACCATAACAACTGAACGTCCTCCTCCTATTCCTACACTGGAGTTTCAAAATAAAAAACACAGTCACTACTGAACGTCCTCCTCCTATTCCTACGCTGGAGTTTCAAACTAAAAGCTTGGATGAGGAAACTTTTCCCTTGAACTCTGAAATTAAAAAACAAAAGCCTTCCAAAATAAAAGGCTGTGAAGCTGATCAAAAAAGTCTTTTATTGTTAAAAAAAAACACAGTACAGAAGATTTGAGATGATGACATCATATCCTGTCACTGTGTTTCACCTTCGTCCTCACACACGTCACACAGATGCTCCTCCATCGTAAACTGACCCCGACAACCGTCGCTACCGCACAGACACACCACTTCCCGTTTGCTCTGAGTGTCGGCGGAGTAGTTCCAGGTCAGCTCCGTACCGGCCTTCACTGCCCTGAAACACAGAGGACAGGCCGTTATTACATCATCATCATCATCATCATCATCATCATGGCCGTGACGAGCTGCGTCTGACCCTCCTCTTCCTCACCTGCTGGTGAAGAAGGCGATGACGGGGAAGGCGGGGTCGTGACAGTCGGTGAAGATGTTCTGGATGAACAGGTTGGGCTGACAGCTGTGCTGCAGGGGGCCAAGACAAGGTCAAAGGTCAGACTCAGTGGTGACATCACCTTCACTGTGACGCCACGTTGACTCGTTTCTATGGCGACACAGTTCAGGTCAAAGGTTCAGATGCTGAATATGAGATTTGATTTTTACAACAGTCGGAATGACAGAATAACAAAAATAAATCTCAATATTTCAGAATAAAATTATGATAAAAATAAAATAATGAAAAAAACAAAAAATATTACAAGAAATTATTCTTATTTTGAAATTCATAAACTCACTTACGGACTGGAATTACGCTGACGAAGCGGCTGGCGGCCATCTTTACATGGCGTCAGCTTCATAAACGCTGTTAACCTTCACAGCACCGTATCACTTTGGACTTACGTTGATGAAGCGGCTGGCGGCCATCTTTACAAGGCGTCAGCTTCATAAACGCTGTTAACCTTCACAGCACCGTATCACTTTGGACTTACGATGATGAAGCGGCTGGCGGCCATCTTTACATGGCGTCAGCTTCATAAACGCTGTTAACCTTCATAGCACCGTATCACTTTGGACTTACGTTGATGAAGCGGCTGACGTTCCCCTCCTTGCTGGCGTCCAGGACGTAGATGTCGTCCACCTTCATGGCTCTCTTTAGACTCTTGTGGCTCTCGGTGCCGTTCACACTGTGGACTTGCGGTGCCACCCCCTGGGGACAGGCGGGTGTCATGGCGACGTTGTTGTCCTGACCTGGAGAGTGGCCACCTGACTCCCCCACTGATGGAGACAGCGGCGGCGGTGCTCCGACCAACACCGTCTGTAAGCAGAGTGGAGCATATTAGACAGGAAGTCAGAGTGTCTGTGTGATGATGTAACTGTTTCCTGTCTCACCTTGTCTCTGTCCTGTGGCGTACTGGCGGCAGCAGCGGTGTCGGCGGGTCTCTGGATGACGGGGACATGCAGGGGTGGCGAGGTGGGCGTGGACATAGGCTGCTCCAGCAGGTTGCTCCGACTCTCCAGCACGGGCGGAGCGAGCCACTCAGTGACAACCTCCACCTCGTCGTCTGAGGGAAGGTCTGCCCTCGTCAGCTTCGGGGGCGGAGCCTCAGCGGGACTCTGTACCCTCCGCAGCATCACACCTGGACACATGTTATCGTGACCTCACAGCTGATGACAAGAACGTTTACATGAACAACATCGACGGTGCCTCACCTGCGTACATGCACACAAATGTGCCACGGTCCAGGTCGTCACGGCAACGGACGCCCCAGCCACACCTGTCGGTCTGGAAGACCTGGAGGCGGACTTTGATCCCCCTCTGGACCAGCCGGTTCTGACAACGAGCCCGAACGCAGCCGCACCACGGGCCGCACTCGTACACGCTGACAATGATCAGACAGGAAGTGGTCAGAAGGATGTGGACAGTCTGCCACCACTTCCTGTCACCATACACACTGATTCATGTCTTACCCTGACGGTACAGGCTCTGTCAGCCTGTGGTGGCTGTAGCTCCGCCCTCCTCTGGTCATGGCCACACAGGCGCAGCGCTGAGCGTCGCTGCAGCCATCGGTGCAGTCGCAGCAGACGTCGAACAGCGCCGGGCTGCGGGTCAGGAAGCAGCCGTGTGGCCAGCGGTCCTTCCTGTAACGGAAGTCTGACGGCCGGGCGCTGCCGTCCCTGACGCACAGCTGCACCGGCGTAGGCTCCGCCCCCCGGCTCAAGTCCATCTCTGGCCGCTGGGGTCCCGCCGGCGGGGGCGGGTCCAACCGGACGGACGGGTTGAAGGTGAAGAAGTCCACCTGTGGAAGATTTAGAGTCACATGATACTGTATGCTACTTTTCCTGCAGTCCCTGAACACATCGTAACCAACCTGCAGGATGTCGTAGCTCTCTGTGGCCAACAGGAAACGCATCACGTCGTCATGGTTACGGAGGCTCTGTCCACATGGGGCTTTGTAAACGACGTCCCAGTCTTCCACGTCTTTGTCCATGTCCTCACAGACAGTGAGCTCTGCCCCCTCGCTGTCCACCCTCGATGACATCATGGGCATGGCGCTCAGCCTCTTAAAGCCACAGAGCAGCGGAACCTTCAGGGGGTTCTGACCCCAGAACGCAGGGGTGCACTGAGGCATGCTGGGTAGACTGGGCAGGCACGACTGCAACGACACAACACAACACAACACAACACAGTGTATCACAACACAGTGTGTAGCACAGTGTGTATATTGTGTGTTACCTAGGAGCAGGGGTGGAGCAGGTACTGCAGGTGGATGGGGGTCAGTGTGTAGTAGAGTGTAGCACAGTGTGTATATTGTGTGTTACCTAGGAGCAGGGGTGGAGCAGGTACTGCAGGTGGATGGGGGTCAGTGTGTAGAAGAGAGAAACACAGAGTGTATATTGTGTGTTACCTAGGAGCAGGGGTGGAGCAGGTACTGCAGGTGGATGGGGGTCAGTGTGTAGTAGAGTGTAGCACAGTGTGTATATTGTGTGTTACCTGGGAGCAGGGGTGGAGCAGGTACTGCAGGTGGATGGGGGTCAGTGGAGGCAGTAGCTCCTCCCGTCCTGTGGGTGGAGCTGTAGAGACAGAGGGGGGGGCAGGGGAGGTGCAGGTGGAGGAGGAGGAGCTGTGGTGGGTGAAGTCTGCAGGCAGTAGCTCACCTAGAGGAGACAGGAAGACACTGTCACAATAAGAGTCTGTGGACAGGAAGTTTACAGGTTCAGTAGCAAGTGGAGTGTGTGTGTACCTGAGCCGATGACCACTTGGACCACAGATGAGTCCTGAGAGGACATTGGAGGACAGTTGAGACACTCCAGCAGCTTCAGGCCCTGGACATACTCTGACAGACACACAGACAAGAAGACATGAGGACAGACTGTCTCTCAGTGTGTCCTGTGTTCCTTCAGTGGTTCTGTATGTGTCCTGTGTTCCCTCAGTGTGTCCTGTGTTCCCTCAGTGTGTCTCCGCGTGTCCTGTGTTCCTTCAGTGGTTCTGTATGTGTCCTGTGTTCCCTCAGTGTGTCTCCGTGTGTCCTGTGTTCCTTCAGTGGTTCTCTATGTGTCCTGTGTTCCTTCAGTGGTTCTCTATGTGTCCTGTGTTCCCTCAATGTGTCCTGTGTTCCCTCAGTGGTTCTCTATGTGTCCTGTGTTCCCTCAATGTGTCCTGTGTTCCCTCAGTGTGTCCTGTGTTCCTTCAGTGGTTCTCTATGTGTCCTGTGTTCCCTCAATGTGTCCTGTGTTCCCTCAGTGGTTCTCTATGTGTCCTGTGTTCCCTCAGTGTGTCCTGTGTTCCTTCAGTGGTTCTCTATGTGTCCTGTGTTCCCTCAATGTGTCCTGTGTTCCCTCAGTGGTTCTCTATGTGTCCTGTGTTCCCTCAGTGTGTCCTGTGTTCCCTCAGTGTGTCTCCGCGTGTCTTGTGTTCCCTCAGTGTGTCTCCGTGTGTCCTGTGTTCCCTCAGTGTGTCTCAGTGTGTCCTGTGTTCCCTCAGTGTGTCTCCGTGTGTCCTGTGTTCCCTCAGTGTGTCTCAGTGTGTCCTGTGTTCCCTCAGTGTGTCTCCGTGTGTCCTGTGTTCCCTCAGTGTGTCTCAGTGTGTCCTGTGTCCCCTCAGTGTGTCTCAGTGTGTCCTGTGTTCCCTCAGTGTGTCTCCGTGTGTCCTGTGTTCCCTCAGTGTGTCTCCGTGTGTCCTGTGTTCCCTCAGTGTGTCTCCATGTGTCCTGTGTTCCCTCAGTGTGTCTCCGTGTGTCCTGTGTTCCCTCAGTGTGTCTCAGTGTGTCCTGTGTTCCCTCAGTGTGTCTCAGTGTGTCCTGTGTTCCCTCAGTGTGTCTCAGTGTGTCCTGTGTTCCCTCAGTGTGTCTCAGTGTGTCCTGTGTTCCCTCAGTGTGTCTCAGTGTGTCCTGTGTTCCCTCAGTGTGTCTCAGTGTGTCCTGTGTTCCCTCAGTGTGTCTCAGTGTGTCCTGTGTTCCCTCAGTGTGTCTCAGTGTGTCCTGTGTTCCCTCAGTGTGTCTCAGTGTGTCCTGTGTTCCCTCAGTGTGTCTCAGTGTGTCCTGTGTTCCCTCAGTGTGTCTCAGTGTGTCCTGTGTTCCCTCAGTGTGTCTCAGTGTGTCCTGTGTTCCCTCAGTGTGTCTCAGTGTGTCCTGTGTTCCCTCAGTGTGTCTCAGTGTGTCCTGTGTTCCCTCAGTGTGTCTCAGTGTGTCCTGTGTTCCCTCAGTGTGTCTCAGTGTGTCCTGTGTTCCCTCAGTGTGTCTCAGTGTGTCCTGTGTTCCCTCAGTGTGTCTCAGTGTGTCCTGTGTTCCCTCAGTGTGTCTCAGTGTGTCCTGTGTTCCCTCAGTGTGTCTCAGTGTGTCCTGTGTTCCCTCAGTGTGTCTCAGTGTGTCCTGTGTTCCCTCAGTGTGTCTCCGTGTGTCCTGTGTTCCCTCAGTGTGTCTCAGTGTGTCCTGTGTTCCCTCAGTGTGTCTCCGTGTGTCCTGTGTTCCCTCAGTGTGTCTCAGTGTGTCCTGTGTCCCCTCAGTGTGTCTCAGTGTGTCCTGTGTTCCCTCAGTGTGTCTCCGTGTGTCCTGTGTTCCCTCAGTGTGTCTCAGTGTGTCCTGTGTTCCCTCAGTGTGTCTCCGTGTGTCCTGTGTTCCCTCAGTGTGTCTCAGTGTGTCCTGTGTCCCCTCAGTGTGTCTCAGTGTGTCCTGTGTTCCCTCAGTGTGTCTCAGTGTGTCCTGTGTTCCCTCAGTGTGTCTCAGTGTGTCCTGTGTCCCCTCAGTGTGTCTCAGTGTGTCCTGTGTCCCCTCAGTGTGTCTCCATGTGTCCTGTGTTCCCTCAGTGTGTCTCAGTGTGTCCTGTGTCCCCTCAGTGTGTCTCAGTGTGTCCTGTGTTCCCTCAGTGTGTCTCAGTGTGTCCTGTGTTCCCTCAGTGTGTCTCAGTGTGTCCTGTGTTCCCTCAGTGTGTCTCAGTGTGTCCTGTGTTCCCTCAGTGTGTCTCAGTGTGTCCTGTGTTCCCTCAGTGTGTCTCAGTGTGTCCTGTGTTCCCTCAGTGTGTCTCAGTGTGTCCTGTGTTCCCTCAGTGTGTCTCAGTGTGTCCTGTGTTCCCTCAGTGTGTCTCAGTGTGTCCTGTGTTCCCTCAGTGTGTCTCAGTGTGTCCTGTGTTCCCTCAGTGTGTCTCAGTGTGTCCTGTGTTCCCTCAGTGTGTCTCAGTGTGTCCTGTGTTCCCTCAGTGTGTCTCAGTGTGTCCTGTGTTCCCTCAGTGTGTCTCAGTGTGTCCTGTGTTCCCTCAGTGTGTCTCAGTGTGTCCTGTGTTCCCTCAGTGTGTCTCAGTGTGTCCTGTGTTCCCTCAGTGTGTCTCCGTGTGTCCTGTGTTCCCTCAGTGTGTCTCAGTGTGTCCTGTGTCCCCTCAGTGTGTCTCAGTGTGTCCTGTGTTCCCTCAGTGTGTCTCAGTGTGTCCTGTGTCCCCTCAGTGTGTCTCAGTGTGTCCTGTGTTCCCTCAGTGTGTCTCCATGTGTCCTGTGTTCCCTCAGTGAGTCTCCATGTGTCTGTCCTACCTTTGTCAGTGGCTGTGTTCTTCTTGAGGACCCTCTTCAGGTGATCCAGGTACTCGTAGACTCCGTGGAACACCTGGTCCACGTCCTCCTCACACCAGAACGCTCGGGCCCGCTCTGAAACACAACAGGACACATGTCCTCTTTAGGGACTGTTGTTTATCTATTCTGGCTGAGGGGCGGGGCTTATAACTTTAAATGGTTGAATTCATATACTCATTTTACCACCATTTTTTTAGAGAACAAAAAAGCAGTGTTTCTCTAAAAGATATTGGTGATTGTTTTTGATTAGTTTTGGAATTCATGACAAATTTCTTTTCTTGAAAAATTTCTGGTATTTTTTAAATGAAAAGTTTAAAATCTTGACTGTTTTCTTTTTTGTGTGTTTCCCTAGAGAGTTTTGCCTTGCAGACCCATCTCAGGTTTGGGTCATGTTGTCTTTAAAGCTCTTTGTGGGTTTTTTATTTCTTTAAAATGTTTTGATTTTTTTTTTCCTTTAACATTTCTTGGTGGTTTGTTTATCCCTCTCTTTTCTTTTTTGTTAAAATAGTGGCAACTTTTTAAATAATTAATTACACAATCACATTCAGAAACTGCAAAGACAAAACATGGGTTTTCAAATTTCCCGCGGTCCTTGGACACATCATGTGCAACGAACACCTTTGTAAAAAAAAAAAAAAAAGAAATAAAATAAAAACTCAGACATTTCATCAGAATCACTTTATTCTGTTTCATTTAAAATGTGCCTGAAAAACAAGAGTGAAAAACTGAGACTTAACTTTCAAATATCAAAGTTTTATAGAATGTAAGAAGGTGTCTTACGGAGGAGGGTCCTGGGTAAAGAACAGTCCCTAACTGTCACCACACACATCATTACATCTGTGCTCCATCAGACCAGCTGCTCTACATTAAAGGAATAGATAACCTTCAGTGTCATTATCTGACCTGAATTAATATTCTTAATAATAAATTAATATATCAATAATAAATTAATTTAACGTTACAGGCTCCACAGATGACTTTAGACACAGTCTCACAGTGGCTTTAACAACACATGGGAGCTAACACTCCGGTGAGATGATGCTAACACGCTTTATAACTGATCAAACTGCTGCTGCATGAATTCATCCTGTCACACAGATAGTGAACCGTCACACAGTTAGAGGATGAAACCGTTGAACCGGGACTTCTTACCGACGTCCTGAAGATTTAACGGTTCCTCTTCCATCTCCATCAGTAAGCAGCCTGCTAGCACTATGCTAGCTCTGTTAGCCTGCTCGCTAAAAACAAACGGAGCCGTTAGCCTCCTCACGTGTTAACGACCGGAAACACACCACCAACCGTTAACATTAACGACAACCTAACAGTTACTTTATTAATTTATCATCTATCCATAAATTTAACGGTAAAGTTTGAAACATGATCTACCGGCGCGGGTTTTTCATGTTCGCATTGTCACTGATTTACATTGTCCGCGAATATTGGTCCTCAGAGGCCGCCGTAAAAAGTAACAGTATGAAATTGTGCCCTGATTTTAGTTTTGCAGGCAGATTTTACGTCTGATTTTCTTAATACGTCCTCACCTGAACCACAGAGATCACTGCTTTGAATAATAAAGTGAGCACAAACCCAATAATAATAATTTTTTTGACAGTAATGGTTTGTTGACGGCAGTATAACAGCCTGACAGTCTTCACTCTGGGACCAAAATTATCCGACAAAAACGCTTCGCTTTTTAACTGTCCCACATCGACCACCGTACAACAGCACCGGTTACAAACTTGAAGCTGTTTATCGCTTCTGTAACGTCTTACCGAACACATCATGACTTTATATGAACACTAACATGTCCGGACACATGTCAGGAAACAGATTATAGAACAGGAGAGCTCGAGCCCGCAAACAGCTGTTTGTTGATGTTAGCATGAGAGCGTTAGCCACTTCCGGTGTGATTTTGTAACAGTGTGGTAATAAAGTTATGTAAGTTTGAAGTTGATTCAGACACAGAGCTGCTGCAACAGGTAACAGGTACGGAACATAAACACCTTTACACAAGAAATGACCTTTGTTTTGTTTTTTCTTTTATCAAATGTCTTAAATTGAGTTTCCTCCTTCCTCCTCAGGTGAGATGGCTCAGGTGCGGCGGGCAGTGAGCGATGCATTGTGGGGGATGTCTGCGGCCGACTCCATGTCCATGCCGGTCCACTGGTACTATGACACCGAAGACATCAAGAGGGACTTCAGAGGCTGGATATGCGACTTCCAGCCCCCCAGACAGAGACACCCATCCAGCATCCTCAGCCTGTCTAAAACAGGTGCGACCAGTCCTGGAACTCCTTCAACAAGTCCTGGAAAGTCCTGGAAAGATCTTCATGTTCCCTCTTAACTTCCTGTTTATGTGTTGCAGCTGGCAGCGGTCGGACCGCCTGGTCATCTGGTGCCAGCCGACCCGATGTGGTCGGTAACGTGATCCTCCACAACAAGCTGGACCTGTGGAAGTCATCCGCCGGCTCCACCCACTACCATCAAGGTACTGCCTACTGAGTACTGCTTACTGACTACTGAGTATTATCAGAGTACTGAGTACTCCCTACTGACTACTGAGCACTATGAGAGTACTGCCTACTGACTACTGAGTATTATCAGAGTACTGAGTACTCCCTACTGACTACTGAGTACTATGAGAGTACTGCCTACTGACTACTGAGTACTATGAGAGTACTGCCTACTGACTACTGAGTATTATCAGAGTACTGAGTACTCCCTACTGACTGAATATTATCAGAGTACTGCCTACTGACAACTGAGTGATATCAAAGTACTGAGTACTGCCTACTGAGTATTATCAGAGTACTGAGTACTAGGGCTGGATGGTATGGCAAAATGTCCATATCACGGTTTTAAGAAAAAATGATATCGGTTTCACGGTACTTCACAGTATTTTGCTCAGGTTCGGCCAACTTGACATGCTGCTGTGTTGTGCTATGGCCTATTCAAGTGCCGGAATTTGTTATTTACCTGACAACACCTGAACGCAACACACGCTCTGCTCCATTAGTGCTAGAGCTTAGATTCTCTGCCCGAGCCGCGGGCCCAAGCCGGGTCGGGCCGGGACCCCCTACCCATCTGACAGGCCCAGGCCGGGCACGGTGAGATATGAGAGAGAGAGAGAGAGAGAGAAATTGCTACAGGTTGGGGGTTGCAATTCACACATACAGAAAAAGAGAGAAGGGGGTGGTAGAGATAAGTGGGAGGGACAGCGGCTTTCCGTGCCTCAAAAAATATGCCCTATGCATTCAGTGTTTACCCAACACGCTCAATACATGGACATGCAATGACAAATTGTCATTAACTTATTACGTTATAAAAAACGATGAAAATATGGACTTGTTTAAAATGACCTGTTGAAGTGAAAAATGAGTACTGACGGGAACAGATGAGTGGAGTCGATGTTTAACCTGCGCGGAGAGCGCAGGAGAAATGCACTGCCTGTGTGGACAGTCAAGCGCCTGCGGGTACACTCGCAGGACTTCCGCGACACTAACGCATCTGGTGTGTCCTAAACGTTAATTATAACAGCCAGCTTATTGAAAAATGTCAGGTTTAAATCGGGCTCGGGCCCATAATTACAGTTAATTGGACGGGCCGGTCCGGTCCTGGACATAACGTGCACGGGCTCGGGCCCATAATTACAGTTAATTGGACGGGCCGGTCCGGTCCTGGACATAACGTGCACGGGCTTGGGCCCATAATTACAGTTAATTGGACGGGCCGGTCCGGTCCTGGACATAATGTGCACGGGCTCGGGCCAGGTCGGGCTGAATTTTTTGGGCCTGATCTACACTCTAACTAGTGCTGTGCTCGGTTATAACTGTCTCGGACTCGGGACGGGTCGTCTTCGGTCAGGAAAATGCGGCCCGAGCCGTGCTCTAGTGTGCTCACCTGTGTGTGCGCTTTGTCTGTGTGTGTGTGTGTGGGTGTGTGTGTGTGTGTGTGTGTGCGCTTTGTCTATGTGTGTGTGTGGGTGTGTGTGTGTGTGTGTGTGTGTGCGCTTTGTCTATGTGTGTGTGTGTGTGTGCACTTTGTCTATGTGTGTGTGTGTCTGGGTCATCGTGTACAGTTGCTTCACTTTCAGGACTCTCTCCAGCAGCCATTCTTGCCTCTAAACGTTTCTATATGCTCTCACTCTGACCTGCTCAAGCGTGCCTGTGGTGTGCAGCAGTGAAATGGGTCCCCGCTGAAACACTTTGCCGCCGCGCATGTTCCGGACGTTGTTGGGGCTATTCACCGGTATTGCAGTATATCAAAAATTCATATCATAACGAAAATAAATACTGGTTTTCGGTACGAATCGGTATACCGCACAGCCCTACTGAGTACTGCCTACTGAGTAATATCAGAGTACCGAGTACTCCCTACTGAGTACTGTCAGAGTACTGAGTACTATCAGAGTGCCAAGTACTGCCTACTGAGTACTGAGTACTATCAGAGTGCCAAGTACTGCCTACTGAGTACTGAGTACTATCAGAGTGCCAAGTACAGCCTACTGAGTACTATCAGAGTACTGAGTACTGCCCACTGAGTACTGAGTACTATGAGTACTGAGAACTGCCCACTGAGTACTGAGTACTATCAGAGTGCCAAGTACTGCCTACTGAGTACTGAGTACTATCAGAGTGCCAAGTACTGCCTACTGAGTACTGAGTACTATCAGAGTGCCAAGTACAGCCTACTGAGTACTATCAGAGTACTGAGTACTGCCCACTGAGTACTGAGTACTATCAGAGTGCAGAGTACAGCCTACTGAGTACTGAGTACTATCAGAGTACTGAGTACTGCCCACTGAGTACTATCAGAGTACTGAGTACTCCCTACTGACTGAGTATTATCAGAGTACTGACTACTGAGTATTATCAGAGTACTGAGTATTGCCTACTGAGTACTATCAGAGTACTGAGTACTCCCCACTGACTATTATCAGAGTACTGCCTACTGACTACTGAGTACTATCACAGTACTGAGTACTCCCTACTGACTGAGTATTATCAGAGTACTGACTACTGAGTATTATCAGAGTACTGACTACTGAGTATTATCAGAGTACTGAGTACTGCCTACTGACTGAGTATTATCAGAGTACTGACTACTGACTACTGAGTATTATCAGAGTACTGAGTACTGCCTACTGAGTACTATCAGAGTACTGAGTACTTCCCACTGACTGAGTATTATCAGAGTACTGAGTACTGCCTACCTAGTACTATTAGAGTACTGAGTACTGCCTACTGGGTAATATCAGAATACTGCCTACTGAATACTGTCAGAGTACTGAGTACTGCCTACTGAGTAATATCAGAGTACTAAGTACTGCCTACTGAGTAATATCAGAATACTGCCTACTGAATACTGTCAGAGTACTAAGTACTGCCTACGTAGTACTATCAGAGTACTGAGTACTGCCTACTGAGTACTGTCAGAGTACTGCCTACTGAGTAATATCAGAGTACTGCCTACTGAATACTGTCAGAGTACTGAGTACTGCCTACTGAGTAATATCAGAGTACTAAGTACTGCCTACGTAGTACTATCAGAGTACTGAGTACTGCCTACTGAGTACTGTCAGAGTACTGCCTACTGAATACTGTCAGAGTACTGAGTACTGCCTACTGAGTAATATCACAGTACTAAGTACTGCCTACTGAGTAATATCAGAGTACTGAGTACTGTGTACTGTTTGTGGTGTCCAGGTCTCCAGGCAGGGGACAACACCTTGAACGTCCTGTGTTCCCTTCGAGCAGCCCGCTCGCTCGTCACAAGATGTTTCAGCGATGTCTCTCAGGCAGACGCTCGAGCTGCCGTCCTGTCAGACTACGTCCACTTCATGACCACACCTGGCTCGCACCAGGACACCTACGCTGAGTCCTTTCACCGCTCCTTCTTCTCCAGCTGGCAGAACAGCAGACCCACCTCCCCCCGTCAGGTAGATCAAACACACCCCGACAGGTAAATCAAACACACCCTGACAGGTAAATCAAACACACCCTGACAGGTAAATCAAACACACCCTGACAGGTAAATCAAACACACCCTGACAGGTAAATCAACCACACCCTGACAGGTAAATCAAACACACCCTGACAGGTAAATCAAACACACCCTGACAGGTAAATCAACCACACCCTGACAGGTAAATCAAACACACCCTGACAGGTAAATCAACCACACCCTGACAGGGAAATCAACCACACCCTGACAGGTAAATCAAACACACCCTGACAGGTAAATCAAACACACCCTGACAGGTAATCAACCACACCCTGACAGGTAATCAAACACACCGTGACAGGTAAATCAACCACACCCTGACAGGTAAATCAAACACACCCTGACAGGTAAATCAAACACACCCTGACAGGTAAATCAACCACACCCTGACAGGTAAATCAAACACACCCCGTCAGGTAAATCCAGAACAGTTA